GCTTAAATTGCTAGTGTTCGACCATTTTAAACACAACATAATAGGCATATCTATTTCAATTTAAACAATTAGTGATTTCAATTTAGACATTACACCTATTATACTGGTCACTGATATGCTTGAAAACAAACAGGTAACAAATGATCATCAACAACTGCCCTTGGGTCACAGCTAACAGAACCACTATTCCAAAGAAAATTTGAAGGTAGATTGGAAAAAGCTCTTTTTCTCAGAAATGCTACAAGGCAAAATAAATATTGACTTATATTTTTATTTCTTAAAATTTGTCCATGAATGAAAGAAGGGCATCATTTTTGAATAAATATGATAAGATATATTATTTTGTTTGTTAAATTTACATTTAAAAAACTTGATAACAGATATGTATAAAACATAATGTTTTTTAATTTAATCTTTTATATTTTTATTCTCTAGATTGAATTAATTTCAGTTTTCACTTTTATTCTTATACATAAGAATACACTGCTGTCCACTTTGGACTCAAGATTCATTCTACACTATGGCGAGATCCAAGAAAGCATAAGCAGGGTTCATAGCCACATTTTAGTTTAAAAAAATAAGCACCTGCCTAATTACATCATACACAACTGCATAACCTTAAAAATTAGACTTCTAATTTAAAATATGAGAAATGAAGTACTTATTAAGAGAGAATAAGCATTACCTCAACCATGGAAAATAATTACTTTTTTTGTTTTTAATTTTAAATAATAGTTCAATTTACAGAGCTAGTTTACAATGAGAGAAAAAAAACTATGAAGAACTAAACTATATTACAAGATTTAATGATGAAATTTCAGTTCAAAATAGAGAAAATAAATAATAATAAGGCATATTTATTGTATTCGCTTGGAACCTAATTATAATAAATACAATTTATTTTTTCACTCCTATTGATATTTAAATAATTTAAATCTAAATTCTGAACATTTTCTAAATTTTCATTGTATAACAGTTTTCTCTTAACAGATATTACAAGCAAAGTAATTTAAGTAAAAAAGAAGTACATTTCTGAAATCAGAAGACAGAAATTTGCTTCATACAGTCATCTTTAACAGTAAAATCTTAACTAACCCGCATACTTGGAAATTGGCGAATATTCGGACAGTCGAGCGTAACTTGAAAAGAGAGCAGGGGGGGGGTAGACTGTAGCCGCTTTTTAGATTTTTCCGCTAAATAAATGCTTTTGACATTTCGATATGTGCATCATATAAAAATAAACCAACGGAACTGAAAAATATTCTGCTTAGCAAGCACAGTAAAACTCTTTTAAGTGCTCATAAACAAATCTCGGACTGAACATCAAAATTAATTATCTCTGCAAAATATCGCAAACGTTATTGCGCAATACGTGTGCCGTAATTCTTCCCTACGTGATATTATGCAATTGGAATCAACAACTGTTGGTATTGGGAGAAAAAAGAACTAAATAACTGGAGTGTTTTTCATTCTAATTTTCAACAGACGGCGTTAAATTTCCGGAATAGAACCATTCTTCGCTTGGGTTGGTAGACCGCAGAACTTCTAGTCCTATTCAATCCAGATTGGAAAGTGACCCCCCCCCAAAAAAGGTCCGTTGCTTGTTTTGCAGTGAACTGTAACAGTTTCAATATTCAAGATTTTGCAGAGAAAGGGGAGACCTCCCAACCTTCGTACTGTATAATGTATTGGCCAAAAAAATGAAACTATTTTGACTATTTGATTACTTTCCCTTTATTTAAGCCATTCCGAATATTATTCCTTAGAAAGCTAATCTGTGTTAAAACACAATGTGTTGCATTTTTGGAAGTTTACTATACTTCAGCAGTTACTGCAACTATATATTATTATAAACATTCAAACATATGTTCATAATATAAGCATAACGATCATAATAAACACGAATATGAACTGACCAAGCAGAACGAAAATGCAAATCTTTTTAAGATCTTAAAAGAAATTCAAACGTGTGTAGTATTTGGGTGGGAGGAAAAGAATGCCGAATGTAGCGCATTTTTCTACTGCTTTCGCAATTCTTTGACCAAAAGAACGATGGGCACCTGTCTACTCTTCGTGCACACCAAAGGTTATGTTAATGCAGAGCAAGGGGGAAAAGCTATTTCCGGGAGTATGATTCACCATCTGACATTCCATATTAGGAAGAAAAGTTGTTTATTTAGTTTCGGCTTTGGTACGGGGAAAAATAGCGCGTTCATTAAAAAAAAAAGCACTAAAAGCAAAAAATAAGCACTAAAAACAAAAAAATAAGGGCTTTAAAGAAAAAGTAAGCACCTATAAGGGCCTTTATATTTTATTTTCAAATATAAGGACTTATAAGCACTTGTAAGGACCGCTACGAACCCTGATAAGATAAGGCAGTAAGTTAGATAAAACCACAAGTAAACTAAAATGACTGCCTAATGTGGGTGAGGAAAAACATTTAAAACTGCAAAATATAATGCTATTTAATCATAAATCACTACTAAGGCCCTAATTATATTATTTAAGCCTTATAATGAAAGCGGTACTATTCCACTACAGGGACTGTACAAAATCACAATGAAAGCAAGTGCAAAAGTGCCAAACTTAGCAAGCACACTCATTTAATCATATGTTAAATATGCCCATTTAACTGCACGTGTATTTAGATAGTTTTAAATTTTTAAGTCACCATTGAAATATTAGTTTAATTTTTTAATTATTTTTTCGATAATGCTATGGATCTTACAATGGGGGGGGGGAAGACTGCCCAAGTACAAAGAGACTGCAAAAGAATTTTTTCAAAATGAAAACATCATTCATGGCAGAAAATGCTTTAAGAATTAGTAAATGAAACCGTGTTTTACCGATAACTCAACAGTAAAATGGTGCTGCAGGAAAGAATCCTGTAATGAGTAGAAAGGATTAAGAACTCAAAACTGGGTCGAAGGATGGAAAATGCCTCTTCTTTACAGCCATGAAGTTCATCTATTTTTAGTGTCCGGAGATGACATCTATTGAAGCTGATAATGAACACAGTACAACTGTAGAGTGGAACAATTACATGTATGTGATGCCTGCGACTGCTTTAATTGTTCAGCCTAAGTTAAAAATCAGCAGATGTGACAAGATTACTGAAGCAGACAAAAGCCTTTTCACTTCAAAAAATAACACTAAGACATGTTTTTCTGCCATACTGAGTTTTCGGCTGATTGTGCAGAAAACTTTATGAATGTTTTTAGTTGTTGTTTATTAAAATTGATAGGTAAAAACCTTATTGAATGTCATAAAGGAAACTATTGTACAATGAAGCATTATTTATACTGACTGCTGAAAAGCATATAAGATGGATGAATTGCGAGATTCCACCCTTGAATATTTTACTGTCAACCTCAACTATAATTTTGCAGACCCTGAAAGTATGTGTCATACACAAACAATAGAGTGGCTAAGGGCAGTGCTAAATGTTGCAATAAATGCCATTTGGGCAATTCTCAATAGCACTTTGTTTCTTATTTCCCTGATTTATGCAAAGACATTTGCCCAAGAAAACTGAAACTTTCTCTGCCATGTTGGAAGACAAAAACTTTTATGCCACCCATTTAATTTCAGTTATATTTAGCCAGAATTATTTCTGGCATCAACAACAGTTAGGCAGTTTTTACAGTCTATACACTGGAATGGTACTATGAAAACTAGTAGAAATGAAAAGTTTTAATTTTATGCTAAAAATATAGCTAAAAATTTCTAAGTACTAATAAACAACTATTTACATGTTATCACAACCTTTGTAGAAATTGCCACAGTTTCTCCTAAATATCCTTCAGACAAATATGCTTATAACAATCCTATAGTTAAGCAATGTTGCCAGTTTCAAATACACTCCTTTGCTAGATTTCAAGTTCCAATGCTTTTACAGACAAACTGCAATATTTTTTGCCTTCAACCTCAATTCTACAAAAACGCATGGGGAATCTGCCAGAAATTATAGAAAACATATTAAAATACCTACAGAAATACAGTATTTTGCCACAAAATAGCTAACGGGAACAGTAACGAGATAACTTTGATAGATAGTTGGCACACAATGCCAAGTTGGTGAAAAAGCTCTCATTTTTTAAATAAAAACAGATCACTGTGCACATGAGAATAGCAGCATGAAACAATTAAAATGGGGTTTCTAAAAAAAATGTGTGCTTTTATTTTTTTAACACATTGTATAATCTTATTACATAATTATAATTTTTATTTTAAATTTTTAAAGATGTGTTTTCTTTTGATATGTTGATGATGTTTGCTAACTTATGTTACATATACATAGTTCAGAAATATTTTTTTAAAAATTTATGAAAATCACCAACTTGCACCCAAAAAGTAATTTTTAGCTTATGATCTGTAAAAAATCACCAAACTGCGCTAAGGTGGTTGCATTAATACATATGTACCAATAAAGAAATATAATTTACTTTCAAAATGTTTGAAGTTATAAATATGTTAAGAAACATTAGTCGTATCTACATTTCAAAGTAGATGAAAAAGGCTGCATCTGGACTCCCAAGATGATCCCAAAATAATAAATTATAAGCAATTTGATACTGTAAACATTTTTATTAGTAAAGTCTAGCAACTTTTAATTAATATATAAATATGGTAACATAATAATTATCTATAACTATCTATTTCATCAAAATATATGTTTATTATCATTTGTATTACAATTAATATTAAAAAAATATTAGTTTCAAAGATAAACAGAAAAGGATACAGAAGCAATACAAATTTTATTTCACCATAGAAACAGTGCTGCACATTATAAAGTGTGAAGAAAATTACAGCCTTTTTCACCAACAGTTTCAGTCAATAATTATAAAAGTATTATCAATGTAATAGTAAAACTTGCAAAACATATAACTGTAAAATATAAATAAAAACATCAGGAACTACCTAGCTGATATTCAGTTTCAATAATAAAATCATATCAAAATAATTTCAACACATTCCAAATTATCACATAAGTTTACCTAAATCTTTCGTTACTGGCTCCTTATGTTCAACTAATGGCTTATCACAGCAAGGAAAGCCTCCGATTGAAGTGAAACATAATTTTTTGCTTAAATACAAGTAGAAGATCACCAATATTACCAAAAATGCTCCAACTGCTCCCAAAAAAGCTGATGCCTCAGTGGGTACTATAAAATAATAATAATAATAATAATAATAATAAATAATACTTCTAAGAGAAAAATACCACACAAAAAAAAAAAAAAAAAAAAAAAAAAAAACTTGAATAACAATAGGAAAATTAGCCTTAAATTTAAATAGTAGCATAAATAATAATTATCTAATTTAAATTATTAACAAACAACTGAGACACCTATAATGAAATATTTAAAATTCATAACTTTGTAAATATAAAAACCTTTCTCAGAAATTTCACAAATATGTATACATAACTGTTTCATAATTGTTCCAGAGACATAACACTATGTTATAAATTGATGAAATCAGTTTTTGCAGATGTGGTAGATGATGAAGATTCCCCTCCCCAAACTCCATTTTAAAGCTATTCAAAGAAATTAGATCTATTATATTAGTCAAATATTTACTAGTTACGATTATATAAATGTTAATATACTACAAAGAATTATCCTTCTATGCATCAGGGTAATATTTTAAACTAGAAAGATAAAAAAATGCAAAACTGGCTGATTTATCTATGCATTAAGCAGAAAAAAAAATACTTTTGCTTTAATATTCAATCTGCTAACAAAAATTATACTATTTGCCTCTCTGTCTTCTTGAAAAACAGAGCTTTTAGAAGCATCATAAACTTCAGATAGTATTTTTTCAATGAAGAAACATACTTCAGGAAAAAATTCAGTATTCAAATAATTTGCTTATGGTTTTTATTATCATCTCAAAAATAAACTGTTATTAAAAAATGCCACGAATATTTAAAAATCAGATAAAGTAATTCAAGCTATTTTTCAAGTTGTAAAGTAAATCTGTATTGAAAATCGTGGACCTTTCAAAGAATTGAATTTTAATTTTCAATATATCACTGTATTTTACATGAAAAATAGCAGTAAATCTATAAGCAATAACGAATTTATTTTCAGCTTAAATCTATACACCAAATATGACCTGACTGAATATTCTAACTCTGTGACATTCCAATATAAAATTCTGAAAAATAAATGTAAGTTCTTTCTAATTATGTAAGTATGAAGGTATAAAAGAATCTGCGGTTGATCTTTGGATTATGGTAACTTGGCGATTTTTTGGCGAAAATTTATTGTGAAAATTTGGCGACCAACTCAGCTACAGCAACCCTCTATTTTTTTTTTCGCCGCCATTTTGTCTTCACGAAGTAAAGACATGTTTCTTTTCTTTTTATTTACTGAACACTTTTTCCAACAATCTACTAGCCGAATTACACTTATGCTAAAAATTTTATGTAACAAAACTGCTTAATTATGACAAGTATTAACTGCAAAATTGGGAAAAAGTGCACACTCCTTGCGCGTTTTCAGAATACACATAAACCATTTACACGTCGACTTATTTTTACTTAAAAAAACATCCCAGAATTGCACAAAAATGGCATTGCACACACTCTTAACTTTATCCATCTACACTGCTATTTTCTCATAAATTACAAAAATTTGCACGAAAATGCAAAAAAATTCGGTGAATCTTTAAACTCGGTAAAAAGCACATATATGAAATTACCTGATCGCGAAAAAGTATATACCCTTTCCAAGGATGAACATTTCCACGTATAAAATAAAAAAAAAAAATATTCCAAAACTTTTACCTCTAAATTATCTATTATATTATAAACGTCACCAACGAATTCATACCGCAAACATTACAAATGGTTACAAATACTTAGTGTCATATATTTAAATGCACGTTTACTTCGACTGAAACGAATACCAAATTCCTACAAACATAAAATTCACAAAATAACTATCATTTAATTAAAATATCACTAAACCATGTATACGTCGACTTATTTTTACTTAAAAAAACATCCCAGAATTGCACAAAAATGGCATTGCGCACACTCTTAACTATATCCATGTACACTATGAAATTACCTGATCGCGAAAAAGTATATACCCTTTCCTAAGATGAACATTTCCACGTATAAAATAAAAAAAATATCCAAAAACTTTCACCTCTAAATTATCTATTATATTATAAACGTCACCAACGAATTCATACCGCAAACATTACAAATGGTTGCAAATACTTAGTGTCAAATATTTAAATTATTTCCACACACGTTTACTTCAACTGAAACGTATACCAAATTCCTACAAACATAAAATTCACAAAATAACTATCATTTAATTAAAATATCACTAAACCATGTACACGTCGACTTATTTTTACTTAAAAAAACATCCCAGAATTGCACAAAAATGGCATTGCGCACACTCTTCACTATATCCATGTACACTGCTTTTTTCTCATAAATTAGAAAAATTTCACGAAAATGCACAAAAATTTTGTGAATCTTTAAACTCAGTAAAAAGCACATATATGAAATTACCTGATCGCGAAAAAGTATATACCCTTTCCAAGGATGAACATTTCCACGTATAAAATAAAAAAAAAATATTCCAAAACTTTTACCTCTAAATTATCTATTATATTATAAACGTCACCAACGAATTCATACCTCAAACATTACAAATGGTTACAAGATACTTAGTAAATATTTCAAATATTTAAATTAATTCCATGCAAATATTAAAATTATTTCCATGCACGTTTACTTCCACTGAAACGTATACCAAATTCCTACAAACATATAATTCACAAAATAACTATCATTTAATTAAAATATAATTAAATTCAAAAACACTACTTAAAATATAAAAATCATTGCTAATAACAATTTTCCAATAATACCATATTATTTTATTTACTCCTTACATTTAGAACAACGCATAAAAATAATATCCTCAAATAATTAAAAATACTAACTTACCTAATCTTCTTCAGAATCTTGATTACTTGTCCGATGAACTTTTCTTATTTCCTCTGCTAAATACAAAGTAAGCGTATGTGCGCCTGTTTCAAGATCTTTAAAATCATACTTATAGTTCACAGCAAGGTACCAGGTAAAATAAATAACTTAATAAAACATCTTTACTTCTATCTCGCACAACCTTAAAAAAACACTTATTACTACCCCTTTTAATACCACTAAATACCCATTTCGAATTCACTTTAGTTAGGGCCATGGGATCCAAAAATTAACCAACGCTGTTTCACACAACACAGAATAAAGCTAAATACAAAATTTCCCGATTTCCCCCCTTTTTCGATTAAAGAACTGTAATTCGTCCATTAATGTCACATGACATATCTCATGATCTCTCATTTCCCTCACACAAAATAATGCGTAATCAAAACTGATTACTTCTCACATTATAACCAAAGTCCTAGGTAGTAACCTTTATCGCCTCCAAAATGTCGCCAAACTAGCAGTTACCATATTCCACAGATCAGCCGAATCTGCATTTATTTTCACCTTTATGCTCCAAAAATTATTGTTTTTAAAATATGCTACGCAAAAAAAAAAATGAAGTATTTTTCCCTCATGTTCTTATACCTTGCTACATGTAACAACCCTGGTTGATTTAGAGATTAAATTTTGGGGATCGTTACAATGATTAAGTACCCAAAAAAGTATCTAAAACTGCATTTCATTTCTTTTTCCTGATCAAATATTATAAAGTACAGATTTAACATTTTTGTAAAATTCCTTGCAAAAAAACAAATTTAACTTTAATTAATCTTTTTTACAGAAAAAAAAAAAGGTAACTTTTCCATTATGCCCCTGCCACATTTTTTTGACTCCTGTGAAAACGAAGTCAAACACAAGCCAAGACCCAATTATTGCATCATGTGAGGATCAAACCTTTTTATATTACTTGTAATTTTATCCAACTTTGATTTCGTTCCCGTTAGATCGGGATCAAAATAGTTTCTTATAAATTTACTACACGAATTCTACAAAATTCAGCTCTGTCTCTGATACACCTAATAAAAAAGCAAGGATGGAAAATATGCTAATGAAGATACAATACGAAAATGTTCGTCTAAAAACTACTACCGCAGGTTATACATCCGGGTCAGTATGCATTTTACTTGGAAAAATGTGTAAATATACATTAATCTTTGCTTTACCATAAAAACTAAAAATATAGATTTCAGAAATTTTATCAATTCAAATGTTCGTCGGTTACACAAAACTGCACTTTAATTTTAATTGTAATAAACATATATTTTAATTTTAACAGTAATAAAGATATAGCTCGTTTTCAAATCGGACCAGATTGCATTTCAAATACACTAATAAATTGTGATAAATTTATGCAGCAAATAAATAATAATGAGTTAGTATAACATGAAAAATTAATATTATAATAAAATACTATTCTAAAATGAATTTTATTTTTCATTACAATATTTATAATCCAGTAATTAACTGTAGATATTTTTACAAGACAGTAAAAACGCAACTTTCAAACCAAACATATGTGCGCTTACCGACGCAGCTAAAGGAACATTCCATTACAATCAAAAGGATTTCAATAAAATATTTTTTTAATTTAATTGTAGAAACACAAAACAAAAATTTACCTGCAATCATTTTTACACTAAATGATAATCTCCATCAATATAAATCAAAAGAAAGAGGTTTGTTTTCATTTCGATTGACAAACGGTACCTTGAAAATCCAACATATTGCCATTCTCAATGCACCAATTTGAAGTAAATAAATAGCATTACAAGCCGCAACAATCGTGGCTCATCCAACTAGCAGGAGGTACCGTAGGGAAAACATGGACAGCACCATTTTTTTTTTTAGCCACATTTTCTCACCGTTTCGAAAAAAAATGGCAGTTTATAATGAATAGTTATAAATTTTTCTTCTGATTTTCAGTAAACATAAATAGTCTGTAATCACATATGCATCACTCAAATAGATATATATATACATATATACAGTACAAAGCAAGGCCAACTATCTAGTTGGCCTTGATTCGTGCGGCATTCGACGATTCCGGATTTGGGATTTTTCCGGATATTAGATCATCAGCTTAAATCTGGTAAAATGGCATGTAGAAATTATAAAATAAAAAATATGAAATTATGAAATCGTGAT